ACCCATCCGCCCTTTTGATACAGAATCACAGAATGGCTCAGTTGGAAAAGCCCTCTGAGATCATCACGTCCAACCGTTCCTGTCTACCCCCTAAACCATATCCTTAAGTACCTCATCTACCCGCTCTTTAAACACATCCAGGGATGGTGACTCCACCACCTCCCTGGGCAGCCTGTGCCAGCTTCTGACGACCCTCTCAGTAAAGAACTTCCTCCTTCTCTCTAACCTGAACCTCCCTTGGCACAGCTTGGTGCCGTTTCCCCTTGTTCTATCCCCATCACCTGGGAGAAGAGACCAGCACCCACCTCTCTACAACCTCCCTTGAGGCAGTTGGAGGTGGTGCTGAGGTCTCCCCTCAGCCTTCTCTTCTCCAGGCTAAACAAGCCCAGTTCCCTCAGCCGCTCCTCTCTCGCCAGCAGAGGCAAACAAAACCTCAGCCAGATTAGGCAGCAGGTCTGTCCTCTTTCCAGCTCTGTGTGTGCAGTGGGTTATACCAGCTGGTGGGTCTCTTCTGAACTCCTTTTTTAAATGAGTTTAATTAACAGAAAGCCAGTAGAATTAGTGTGAATCTCCAGGGGGACCTTTTGAAGATGTTCAAGAGCCCCATACCTTGGGCAGCAGAAGGAGGTGTACAAGGCAGCTCCGTTTTACAAGCACAAAGCAGCAGGAGATTCACCCCGGATACAGGGCTGGGCTTGCTGGTAGAAAATGAAGTTTTAATTCTGATGTGAATTAGCACACGTTTCAGCGTTGGGCCATTCATGCTGAGATGTCTCTGGTCTGTCAACCAAAACTCAGCTGGGCATGGTAAAATGGGATGGTCGGGTTGCTAGCCTGGTGATGATGATGATGAGCCGAGTAGGTCTGCAAGGGCTTTGCTGGCTTGTCTCAAAGTGCTCTACAGCGTTTGCTCTGTGTTAAGAAGGAAAACTCTGTGCTGTTTACAGTTACTGGATGTGTCTAGGCAGGGTACGTATTGGTATAATGCGATAGCAGTAATGGGTAGAAGTAATTTTTCAGTAGGATAAATATCTATAAATTATGACTTTCTTTAGTCTCATTTAGCACAAAATGCGAAGAGGAAGAAATGGGAGGGCTCTTGGTCTTGAGAAAGAGGATGATCTGTGGGAAACCTTTCGTCTCATGAGAAGGTAACTTGACCTGTTACAACGTGACACCAGCCCGGACTGGGGTATAGGGCCAGGCTGCCCAGGCAGTGCTAGGAAAGGCCTCACAAAGGACATCATTTTCCTGGGTCTGCATGCATTTGACATGTGTGCCTGCTTTCAAAGCTCACATTTTCTCCCACCCCCAGTACAGAGCGTAATTTCAGAGATGTCCTGACCCCTCCAAACATGACTGCTTCTCAGGCTCTGGTTTCCTTCCAGCCTGGATCTGCAGAGCTACTGATCTCAACCACCTCAATGAACAGGCTCATGAGCATCCAAGCCCTTGACTTTCACTGAGGTCTCTGCTGTCCAGAAAGTCTCTTTTCTGTGCCAAAGAGCTTTCTGCTTCTGCAGTCCTGAAGTGCCTTGAGCCAGGGCAGGTAGAATTGGTGGGGGAGATGGGCAACTGTGGGTCCTCATAGCCTCACTGAGTAGTCTCGTTAAAAGGAAAACGTTTAAGATATCCCCCAAATATGTTTTGAGCTGCTATCAACCTTCGTTTTCCTCCTCCACCCCTAGCAAGAGCTGACTTGTCCTTTCTGGAGTTACATAGTCACGGTGAGGCCTTTTCCTCGGTTCTTTGCTTTCACAGAATCACAGAATCGCTCGGTTGGAAAAGCCCTCTGAGATCATCACGTCCAACCGTTCCTGTCTACCCCCTAAACCATATCCCTAAGTACCTCATCTACCCGCTCCTTAAACACATCCAGGGATGGTGACTCCACCACCTCCCTGGGCAGCCTGTGCCAGCTTCTGACGACCCTCTCAGGAAAGAACTTTCCTTTACATGGGCTGAGGCTGGCAGGACACACTGTCACTATACCAACTCCTTAAAATTCAATTCCTTAAGTCGTCATGATGATCTAGTAGATATGCCACCTTCAAGAAGAGCCCTTGCTCTTCCTTCCAATGCACAACCTACTTCTGGCTCATCTCTGTCCCAGGACCCTTCCACTCACAGCAGAGTGATTGACTGCTCATGGCTTTGTCAAACGAGGCTCTTGAGTCATCTCCAAGACCAGTGCACAATTTGGGGCAACCCTGTGACCTGAAGCAAGGCATTCACAGCAGCACAGAGGTGGCCAGGGGTGGCTGTCAGCCCACATGGCAAAGCGGGTGGTTTCTCCACCAACACAGGTGCAAGCTTGTTCCTTTGGTATTGCAGCAAGGAGATAACATTATCAGTGCATCTTGCTTCCCTCCACCGGCCGGTCCAAAAACCGCTGAATCAAAAGGCAGTACTGACTGTGGCCTTGGAGCGATGATTCACACTGTGTGTGCTCAGCACTAGCTGGAACATTAACCCTTGGATCAGGGTGCACAACAGGAACGGCAACAAAAGGGGAAAACTGAACCTCCTGAGGTGTTTGCCCGTTGGAAGCCCGGTGGGAGGGAAAATGCTGGAGGTTGTTCCTGCCTTAAATTCCCACCAAAACACATGGCTGCTGGGGGAAGCAAAGGTGTGTTGCTTGTGGAGTCTTTTATTCCCCCTGCCAGCAAGGGCAAGGAGCCACTCTCTGAGGGATGTGATCAGTCCCGTCCCGTTTGGGAACAGCAAACTGTCAAAACCCTTCGGCTAAAGCATGCTTTAGTAGCTGGTGAATTTATGGGCATTGCGGCCTATCTGGAGCTCAGTTGGAAAACAGATGGTAAAAGCTGTTTTTTTATAAATAATTGTTTTAACAAATAAAAATACATCAATAAAATGTATTTTACACTTTTAATATGATCCCGTAATCAAGTTTTTCTTCCAGTAGAGTTTGGAAATCCTGGGGACTGACCCTCTGGGAGGATCAGGATTCACAGCCAAATGGGAAGCAGCAGCCATGCCACAGCCTGCTTAAGCTGCGACGAAGCAACGAGGATGGAAAAAGTCCTGTTTGCAAATTCCCTGAGCTCTGGAGCTGATCAGTACAATCCCAGAAAGGTTATTTCAGAGAGACAGGTGCCATCCGTAAATTAAAATAAACACACTGGGGAAAAAAAAACCCCTATCACCTCCTTGTGCGGTAAATATTATTGATTGGTTTCTTCTTATCTTGCACAGGGCTTGACTCATGGGGCTATAACAGCAATCGTTTTGAAGCTGAACTTTTCAGCTTGAAACAGCTCTTGGGCTGGGAGACGCTCCTGGAGGTGCTGGGACACACAGGGGATCTCTGGTAAGTTTGCATGAGATTTTGCAGGGATTTCGTAGGACTGATGTTTGCTTCTTTTAGTGTCGCTTCAGCAGTTCGATCAGTTGGAAGAATAAAACTGTGATTGCGTATCCTGCAGATGTGTTTAGAGCTGGTGCTGTGGTATCGATTATCTGGATGGGTTATGTGGCTGTGCAGCTGGCTGCCAATGCCACGCTTGGGGAATAGAAACAGGAGGAAGGAAACCTGTAATGTTAGATTTGTTGCCACTAGAAAATCTGCCAGGTGAACTTCAGCAGTGATCGTAACTGTTAGAGTTCAGCGTGGCAAAAGAAGGTCACCTATGGCAAGTCTGGGTGATCACCTGGCTCTCTGCTGATGTTGTTTCTTGTTGCAACCTTCCCAAGACCATAAATGCTCATTCCAGCAGTTGCTGGGGGCAGGCTCACTGTTTCCAGGGCATATCACCTCCAGGGACCAGCCTGTCAGCACGGGCTTTACCAAGCCCTATGCCAGACCCACCATAAGGCAGATTTTACCTCCAGGATAATTAGAGGCCCTGCCTCACTCTTCCTTTTCTAATCACATGCCCATCTTTCCCCATCTCCACTCCTGAGACAGCCAGGAGTCCAGGCGAGCTGGGGGCATCCTCAAGGGTGGAGACCCCGCACTGCTCTAAATGAGGAACCAGTCCCTTGGGATGGGTATGTGGTTCAGTCACAGGCAGAGAAGTGGGATCTGCAGTAAACTGTGCTTACTACCACAGCTAGGGACACATGGAAACAACCAAAGCTATTTTAAAAGCTTTCTTCTACCTTGTACAGATGCTCACAAGGAAGGGCACAGGTCGTATCTTTGCTACAAGTGCCGCTTCCCACCAGACAAGACTAAAGCCCTGGATGCAAATATCAGGTGCCAGAAAAGGAGAAATCAGAGGTCACCAGAGCTTTTATCAGAGGGAGAGATAGCATATTCTTTCATAGTCATATTTTGAATAATTTTTCTTGTTAATATTTAACCTAAAATGAAGCTCTGTCCAAAAAGGAAGAAAAATATACAAAAAGCAAACCCCAAAAGCTCTGGATATGATGAAGAAAGCTGGCATCTATACATAGGGTCTTATCTTGGAAAGCTGTCACCACCACTGCTTTTTCTACCCAGGAGAGAGCTGCACTTGGACATGCAATGGGGTGTGCTTTTTGCTTGCTGAGTTTCCTAAATTGACTTTTATTATGGTGACAATATTGGTTTTTGTTGTGCTCTGAGTGTGTGAGCAGCAGAAAAGCTAAGAGGCTTCAGGCTGCGGCATCTCCCTTGACTACTCAGTGAACGTAGGATCTGGTGGAAGACTGCGGGCTTCACTTAAAGGATTTCTTCAAAAGAGTGAGCAAAGTGTCCTGGTAAATGTGGCATCAGTAACTCGGCCGCTCACCGTGTCCTGTCGGGCCTCATGACAGGGAGTGATTGCTGCTCTCAGGAGATATATTTTTGCTGTCTTAAGCAGGTTGAAAAGTAAATCTTCACTTTGCATCCTTATCGCTGCTGCTGCCTGCTCTGACTCTGGGATGAGGAGACAAACCATCACCAGCTCTCTGAGGGTGTGATGAGCTGTTCGGGTGGGACATGCCTGGCATTGGGGCTGCCGTCTCTGCCTTCTCCACAGGCTCCTTTCTGCTTTCGCAGTGCCCCCACCATGTCTGGGAAGAGGTCCAAGTGCTCCTTCTCCCGCTTGGAGGTGGTCCTCATCGTTTTCCTGGTGTTGATGGTGGCAGTGACCGTGGTGCTCCTCGTCCTCCACTTTCTCGTCAAAGAAGACAATGGCAAGTTGAACTATTTCAGCCCCCCCTCCAGTCCCTACCCAAGTGTTGGCCAGTGCAGTAATTTAAAGGGATAGACATAGAGGGTCACTGGGCCACTGCTGAGCCTTCACAATCTTCTCTGTACGTGATCCTCCCGCACAAACACGGCATGGTGCTGCTGCTGGCCTCTGTGGTAGGCGCATGGGGGTCAAACCCAGTGAGAACATCTCATGGGGGATGGATACAGAGCCTCAGGGTTGGTGGGTGAGGCTGGCTGCAGGTATCCAGACAGCTTCCCTTCCCTCTCTGTCTGCCTGATGGTTTCTCCTGCCCTGGACACGTCAGCAATGGGACCTTTCAATTTCTGGCTTTTGCTCTTGAATTGGATGTAGCTCACACTTTCCTCCTGCTTTTAGGTTGTAACGTGTGTGAGTTTTGTACAAGCAACATCCCCTCTGTGATGTGGCTCGTGGAGGAGAAGGTGGAGGAACGGTAGTTTTAATGGGTAACCCTGGGCACTTACGCCAATTTAAAGGAGAGAAATGCCCTGTGGTCAGACTGTGGCCAGTGTGAGTGTTTCACTTCTCTGTTTTAAGTGACAGGAAAGGCCAGACTGGGAAGACAGATCATTCCCTTATCCCAGTGCCCTGCCTCGAGCAGTAGCAGCTGGCTGGGGAAGGCTGTGAGAACAGATCAAGCACACAGAAATATTTTCCCACAGTGTTATCTCATCCTCCAGTGATTTGTGGCTCTGGGATTTCCTGAGACGCAGAGAATTTTTTTGTAATGTATATTGAATAGCCCTCAATAACTTTTCTGCCATGAGTTTGTCCAGGTGCTTTGTCCATCCTGTAGAAGGACTTTGCCACCTTCGTAATGGCTGAGATGAGACTTGATCTCCTTCAAGAGTTCTTTTCCTCACTGCTTGCCTGGAGGTCATTGCCCAGAGCTGCCTTTCCCTTATTTGAGCTTCTGCTGGCTCTGCTGTGATTTTTTTGAGACCAGAGCACCAGCACTGGACATGGGACATACTGGAGGCATCGGGGCAACATATGGATGTGCCCCTCCTTCTTTTCAAGTCCTTTCCTGGTAGATTGTGACGTGCCATCCCCCTTTTCTCACTGCTGCTGAGCTGTATTTTTGTATGAAAACAGCTCCTACACCCTCAGCTCTGTTTCCTGCATGGCAGTGGAGGGCTTGGAGAGCTTAATTGGCAAAGCTAGGCTTGTTTCCCCCTCGCTGTGAATCACAACATATTTTACACAGTCCAGTAATCCAATCTTGTGAGCTCCCTCTGCATTTCTTCATGTCTGGTCCACCCTTTACCACCCCAAATGCCTTAACAGCCTCAGCACACTGACCATGTTGGCAGCCCATTGGAAACCCAAGCAGAGAGTATCAGACGGATGCCCTTGTCCACGGGCCTGCTGAGTCCTCTGGGGATGCTGAGCAGGTTTCAGGCATGCAATCTCTTTAGAAGGGCCAGGTCGCCCTTTCTATCCTCAATTCTGCTTGCTCATGTGTCCATTAATCAACTATTTATTGCTGTTTATAGCTTCCAGTGAAGAAATAGCAAACTACCTGCTGGGTGTAGGTCGAGCTGATTGCACAGGACCTGTGGCAGAAATTCCTCTGGTAAGTTGGGGCAATTGAACAAGGGGTTGGTGAAATACTGATTTTCATCATCTCTGAGTATTTTCTGCAGGACTTCTGGTTTAGCATCTCTGCCTTGCCAAATGGTTGTCACCTTCAAACATTAGGTGAAATTTCTTCGAGGCTTTGAACAACCTGATCTAGGGAAAGGTGTCCCTGTCCATGGCAGAGGGTTGGACCAGGTGATCTTTAAGGTCCCTTCCAACACAAACCATACTGTGATTCCTGCAATTACAGGGTAAGATAGTTGGAGCTCTGAGTGCTCATGTTGAACGAGGCCTCTGACACTTTGGCAAATCTGCTTAGAAAAATACATGCAAATGAATATACCACTCAGTATTTTGGCTGCTTGGGCTTGATGGAGGTCTTCCCTTCCAGATGGGATATGCCAACCCGGACCAGGTGGGTGGTGGGCTTCTCACGCGCCTCTACAGCCGAGCCTTCATCGTTGCAGACCTTGATGACTCCAGGCGAGTGGTGTTTGTCAGCGCTGACATAGGAATGGTGTCTCAGAAACTGAGGCTGGAGGTACGTGGCTGGAAATGAATGATTGGGCCACTTTGGGTTATCACTGGTATCAGCATTAAGGTTGTAGTCATCGCTAGATAATATCGAGCATGGCAGCACCTTGGCTGTTTGCTTTGGGATCTCTTTGCGGCACGATCTGGAGAGACATCGTGCCTCTGCTGAAGGAGAGGTTTTGATTCCTCAGTAAATGAGGCTGGACTTCAACCATACTTTTCTTAGTGGACAAATTATCATGAATACATGTCATGGTTTAAGCCCAGTGGGCAACTGAGCACCATGATGTCCACAGAAGGGGCCTAGACAAAAGAAAAAGACTGGGAGGGTTTTTGCTTACCACTTACAGTCATGGGCAAAAGACAGACTCATCTTGGGGAGAAAAAATTGAAAACAGTTTAATTTTGTTACCAGTAACAACAGAGTAGAACATTGAGAGATACAGCCAGATCTTAAAGTCAACATCTTCCCCTTCATCACCTTTACCTTCTTACTGGGCTTGGCTTTGTTCCCAGCCTCTTTACCTCCTCCAGGAGAACAGGGGATAGGAATAGGGGTTGCAGTCAGTCTGTTCCATGCAGTCTCTGCCACTCCTTCCTCTTCAGCGGTAGGGAGGACTCCTCCCACTCTTCCTCTGCTTCCACAAGGCACCTTTCCCACAGGAGCCAAGTCCTCCAGAAAACTTCAATGTAGGTCTTTCCACAGCTGCAGTTCCCTCACACATGAACTGCTCCAGCACACACTGCCCAGAGTCACGGCCTCTTCAGGGGCAGCCACTGCTCGTGTGGATCTTCCTCACCGCTGAACCTCCACAGGCTGCAGGAGGTCAACCGAACTTCCGTCACTGCTGACCCTCCACGAGCTGCAGGCGGGTTGACCTGCGCTCTCACCACAGGTTACAGGAAGAACCTCAGCTTCACGCACCTCCTCCTCCCCCCTTTCCTTTCTTTCTTCACCAACCTTGGTGTCTGCAAAGTTGCTCTCTTCACGTCCCTCTCCTTCCTTGCTGCAGGCTTCTCCTGATGGTTCTGAAAATTTCCCAGCTCTCTTTTTCTTGGGCTGGAGCTGCAGCAGGGTTGGGGCAGACCAGACCGGCCCAGCCAGACCAGGCTGGGGCCGTGCTGCCCACACTGGGACCTCACTGCCTGGGGTCAGAGCAGGGGCAAGAGAGGGTGGGCCGCATGCTGTGCCCTTCCTAAATACATGAATTTGCATAGGTGCTGATTGGCTTGGCCCTGGTCAGAAGTGGGTCTGACATTGGAGCTAGGGGAGTTTCTAGTAGCTTCTTACAGGGCTATCTCCATAGCCCTCCCCCACTACCAAAAAAACCCAGATCCCCTCACAGAAAATCCCAATATAATACATTTGAATCACAAATACATTATCATGGTGCCTGTCTAATGCTGGGTCTCCAGCACCACAGGGA